ACCTGCGTGGTTCCCTCACTGCTCTATGGCACAGAGGCCTGGTACGGCGGCCGCACGCAGCCAGCAAGGCACACGGGCAGGAGTGGGGAGGTTAGCTCCCGCCTGGGATGGCATGTGGGGACAGTTGAGAAGGTGCTTACTATGGCAGCCAGAGGGGTCCTCCCAGTTTTCCGTACAACGCCCATCGCTGCCCTATACCGGGATGCTGGGCTCCCATCAGCAATGGTAGCTCTGGAGGAGGCCAAAATGCGATTCGCGACAAGGCTTCAGGTGGTGGATGAGAAGCACCCACTGGCTTCACGGATAGCACCTCCAATGATCACACGAGGAAGAGGGGCTGGAACCCGGCAGCGCTCAAAGACCAAGATCCAGCGGTTGGGGGCGCTGCTACCTGCAGTCAATAGACCCACACTTGCCATCCCACACTACTCAGAGGGATGCGGGACAGACCCCACAGAGGGTGTAGACAAAAAGAGTGCTGCTCAGGCATTCAAGAAATGGTGGAGAAGTCAACCCTCAACAGATCTATATGTTTTCTCAGATGGATCAGAACGGAGCCTTGACAACAGCAGGCAGGTGGGCTATGGCTTCATAGTCTATCAGGGAAATAAACAGCTGGCCAGCTTCTCAGCTGCGCTGAGCCCTATGTCACATGTCTTCGACGCTGAGGCAGTTGGTGCCTGCCGGGCACTAGAGTGCGCCGTGAAGCTCCTACCTTGTGTCACAGAGGACAGCAGCAACCCTCAGATCTGGCTCTGCCTCGACAACACCTCAGTCATCTGGGGCATACGGGGCAGTGCAGCAGCCTCCTCAAACTGGGCCTACAACCGCTGCCATGAGCTCCTCAGACAGCACAATCTCGGCCTGAAATGGGCTCCTGGGCATATGGGGATAGAGGGCAATGAGGAAGCAGACCGCTTGGCTAAGCGGGCAGTCTCATCCACTGCAGCCCCAGCCTATGGTCTCGAGGCCACACCCACAGTCAGTGGGGTCCGCACAGTGGCCAAGCAGCTCAGCCAAGAGGCAAGGCGAAAGTGGTGGAGTGGAGCCTGTGGCAGGCTCTCTGACTGGTACCGGGGCTGGAGTTTCAGCAGGCCGACTGTGGAATACCAAGTGAAGGCCCCTCCGGAGCTCACCATGCCACGGCATGCCCTTCACCGCTGGCTCGCACTCCGCTCCTCTCATGGGGACTTCTCCTGGTACCACAGGCGTTTCCAGCATGCAGATGCGAGGCTCACCTGTGTCTGTGGACACAACAAGAGCCCAGAACATTTGGTGCTGTGTCGACACTCACAGAGGCACTTTCTTCACTGGCCCAAGAGGCCAGCAGCACGGCCACACAACCGGGCGACAGCTGTTGCCTATCTAGGGTCTCTGACCCCTACAGACTTTGTAGAACTGCTGGACTGCACGCAGTTCTACACACGGTACTGCACAAGGTAACGCAGCCGGCTGGCTGCAAACCATCTGACAACCCCCGCAGCAGTTCCACGAGGCCGGCCTGCTGAGTACACCCACGGTAGCTAGTGCAACTGCCAGGGACATCACAGTCTATGCAGACAGTACAGATAGCACAACTAGGCTCATCTGTCTCAATTAGCTGTGGTGTAATCAGTACAGTCTACGTGTCTGACTCAGCTGATATGGTTTTGACTGCCGGCATTGTATCTACGCGTGCTCTGCTTTGTTTTCCTCTCGTTTGCCCTTGTCTCTATCGGCTCAAATGCTTCTTCTCCTTCTTTTCTTTGCTCTCTCTGTCATTCTCTGCTCTTTTCCTGTCACAACCTTCTTCAGTGCTCTCTCCTTCATTATTTATCTTGTCTGTCTTTCTTCTGATGTTAGAAGCACAGACAGCTTTCTGATCAACTGAGAGAGGTATCCCTCTCTGCTCACTATAAAGCCTTCCAGGCACGGCAGCGGCGGTCCCCTCAGGGAACCACACTATAGCCCCACCATGAATGGCCATACGTCGGGCCAGAAGTGGATGCGCAGCTCAGAAAAATCCTTTGCAATGAGCTGAGTCTTCTCAAGAGTTGCCACCTGGATTCTGTTTTCTCTCTCTGTGTACATAGAAATCTCTCCAGCGTAGCACGTCTCCATGCCCTTCGGGAGGCTTCTGAAACACGGGCGCTGCCCGTGTTTTCTCCGGGACGTTAAACCTATACATACATACATACATACAGGTTTGAAACTAAGCCAAAATGGAAAGCTTGCTCAATAAAATGTAAAAAGAAACTTTTTGCTACAATAATGCAGCTAAAACTTGGACATGGTTATTTTAAATTATATTTAACAAAGATTAGAAATGATTTAAGTGATTTATGTTCAGATTATCAGTTATATAAAAACCCAGAGCATCTTCTTTTACTTTGTACAAAGCATACAGAGTTAAGATTGAGATTGAGAGAGAAGTTTGAATTGACACAGTTAAATTTAAAACTTTTGTTCAATACAAAAACTGGAAATGAATTCTTGATTGAATATTTGAAAGAATCAAATATTGCTACAAGATTTCAATTGAATAGTTTGATCTGATAATCAATTCAATTTTTGTTTTTCTTTTTTCTTTTGTTTCTATGTATCTGCTTTAATTTTTGATCTTGTTTTTATTTTTATTTTGTTGCTTTTGCTTTGAAATTTATTTCATTTTGATTATTTTTGATTTTGACTTGTTTTGATTTGTGAGTGCTTTCTTTTCTTTTAATAGCTGCTGTTTTTTATACTTTTTATTTCATTTATTTTAAATTGAATGTATTGATCTGTTGTCATTCTTTTGACATTCTTTCTTAAATTGAATAGTTTGAATAGTTGTTAGATTCTGGGCTGGAATTCTGCTATTGCATGTATTAAATTGACTTTGTATATTAGCTTATTCTTAAGTTGAAAAATCCTGGAGTATTTCAGGTAGATGTCATAGTCACTGACTCCATATGTAAGAGATGGGCTACAAGAGTAATTACAAGAGTAGTGTGAAGTACGCACAAAGGATATTAAGAAGGTAGCAATCTCTATTGTTCAAAGCTAATCGCTGATCTCCTAAAATCCACGGATATCAGCGAGCATTATATAGATAATATTGCCATCGCCACGTATCTATCGCCACGTATCTATCGCCTAATATAGATATCTCCGTTGCGCCTATTACACCATACATCTATAACAGAAGAATAATAATAATAGTATATATTAGATGCATCCGACCCCACACTGATGCCTCTAATTTCTATACATCAATTGCTCAGCATGGGTGCAGAGGTGCAATGCAGAAAGAATAATCTGACTACTTCTGCATTCACTAGAGAGATCTCTGCATCTGTATTGACACACATGAATAGCTCCCCTCATACTGTGATCGCTTATATGGTAAAAAAAGTGTATGGAAGATAGTTCAGTCTGCTAATGACTTTGTGATCACTTTTAGAAATGTTCTTCATTATTGCATATCTCAGTATTAAAAATATTGAGGTCTGAGGAAAAGTCTGTGGCTGCTGTCATGGATGAGACAGGCCCCTCAGTGCTCATCCCTCTTCTTAGTTTCTTGACTCATTGTCAGAATCCAGAATATTCAGATCTGACAATGAATCCTCCTCATTCAACTTCATCTGATTTGCAGAGTGATTATTGCTCATATTGTTCATGCTCTTGTTTGAGTAGTGATTTGTATAGTGTGGATCGCCGCATGTGTAACATTCTGCTGCAGGTGCAGTTTCTTTTGCTGACTTGAAGAGGGATGCTACTGTCTGTTCAACTTTCTTAACATCTGCAGATCAGAGATTTGCTTTCATCTGCTGCTGTGTCAGTTGAGAGGGCATTTCAGCTGATCTTTGACAGAATGCTCTGCCTTCAATTGCTCTGAATTTATACCATGTGTACTTCAACAGCTGCTGCTTGCAGTCCCTTCAAGTGCATCTTGCTGCTGATTCATTGTTTTAAATATATCTGCAGAAATCATCTAGATATTCTGTGGGAATGAAAGGGGTTATCATTGCCAGCCCACTCTCCAGACCCTCCCACAGAAGGTGTTTAACTATTGCTGAGTTGAATATTCCAGCCACTCTCAAAAGATTAACCTTCTGAGTGATATATGTCATATGCAGCAGCTCATCCACTTTGTGAAATAAAAATTGAAGGATCTGAGTCTGATCCCAGGCTTCTCCCTCTGACAGCTGGAACTCACTTTGCAGTTTGTTGATTATTATGCTCAGTGAAAGCACCATTTCATTGTGAAGTTCTGAAGATAGCTCATTGTGCCATTCAAGCGCCTGTTATTTTAGACATAAAGGGAAAACTCTGAGGATGGCTGCCTCACCTTCAATGATTGCTATGAATTCAAGTCACAATATGAATGCAATCATATTGATTTCTTCAGAGTTGTATAGCATGAGGTCTGCGGCTCTGAGCTGTGTGGAACACTCATTTTCATAAAATGGGGTGGCTATGCTGTCTTGAGCGGCGCTGGTCCTGCTCCTTACCAGTAGATCCCACTCATACACGGGTCGGTCACTTTCATTGAGGGGGTTGATATTCAATCCCTGCTTAGTGCTGTTGAATCTGTGAGAGGGGTTGACATTCATATCTCATCTGATTCTATTACCATCAGAGTCATAAGTAAATCATTCTGTACTCACTGATCAATTGCTCAGACATGCTCATGCTCTAAAAAGAAAGTTTCACAGTCTGAAGCTGATGGCTCTGAGTGATCCCCAGCCGCCTCCTCTGGGTCCGTGTGGCAAGAATGCTGATCGGATGTTGGAAGTGATAAAGCACTCAGTGAAACCCTCACTGCTAAAGTAGTTCTTCCACTCCACTAATTGATTCTCTCAATTGTTGAGAAGAGTTTCATGATCATTGAATTGCTTCTTCAAACTTGTCAGCTGATTTTTGTGTTCAGTTAGAAGGGTTTTGTATTCACTGAGTCAATTTTTCAGACTCATCAGCTGAGTCTTACATTCTGTTAGAAGGCACTTCCACACTTTCAGACAGTCCTTTCATTTATTCAGCTAAACTTCCAGCTCTTTAAACTCATCTATCATATTCAATATTGCTTCTTCATTGGGTGAAGCCTGCTCTTGCTTTTGATTAAACTCAGTGAATATAGAGGTGATAAAATCTGTATCTTTAACATGCTTTATTGCATCTGTTCTGAACATCTCAAGCCACTGTCGGAAGGCAGCTGCCCATTCATCCACTGAGGCGCTCTGCAGCACAACACTGATTTCCTGGTAATGTCTTGCTGACATCATGAAAAGCAGTCCTTCTGCTTTGAGGTGGTCATAAAAGGTGAGCAGAGTTTTTAATTCTGCATAGCAACTGTTCTCATTCTTCCACATTTCAGAGATCACAATCGCGTGCTTTTCTGTGGAAGACTGAGTATATTGATGTGAGCGGTGGCCGTTCTCACCGGAGACCTGCTCAGTGTTGCTAGCCACGGCCTCGTCCGCCGCGGGGTGAGACTGTCGAGTGGCGTCGGTATCCATCCTTAGGTAAGTGGTTCACTATAGGGTGGACACTTAGATGTACTATCAACAGGTAGATCGCTCCTTCTTCTGTTGTAAATCACTTGACTACTGATCGATTCGTGCCTGTACGCAAGGTGAGATGTAACGTAGGTCAGGTGATGTTTGACTACACTCCACCCAACTGTAGAGAATCAGTGCAGTACGGACGAACGACATCAGAGAGGGGATGATCGATCAACTCCACTCCACCCAACAGTAGGGAATTAGCAGGATCTAATGATTGAATGATCGAGGTGAGGTGATTGCTCATCTCACTCCACCCAACTGTAGAGAATCAGCGAAACGGACAAATGCACCTTGGGGTCGGTTACAAGGGTGAGTAGGGGCGCTCGTTCGACTGCGTTCCACTCAACAGTATAGAATCAACGCAGCGAACGGATGACGCCTAGGGACTCTTGTACCCAACAGTAGAACATTGAGGGGGTGGAGTGGAAGCTAGAAGGATCTTGAATTGATTACTGAGCAGACATGCTACCAAATTATGATGTACACCATTCAATGGATAGGATAATTCATGTCTGAGTTTTTCTAATCTAGAAGGGTGGGTGAATGCCCTTATATATACATAGTCATCCTGTCAGCGATCTACTCCAGAGGAAGGAGTGATCGCAGCATACAGAAAGAATAGAAGGAATAATGATGTAGAAGTGGAAGAAGCAGAGTGAAAGAAAGAATAGAGGCGGAATGCCACAATTTCATTTATTAAACAATTCAACTGAAGATATTTCTTTACAAGAAAATAATGAATATGAATATGATGAGAAATGGAAATGGCTTGTTTGAATTAAAGATGAGTTAAATGTAGTTATATGTTGTTGTTGTTGTTCTTCATATTTTTTTTAAGGTCATATATAGTCTGAGACTATGACAGTCTTCACCTCACTAATCTACTCTTATGTTCGGCTACTCTCTAGTTACATTTCTCTATTCATAACTGAGTTATTCTTGATGAAGAGACTTCATTATACCATGCTGAATCTAGCCCTCAAGAGGGGTCTTACCTCATAATTGCTCCCACAATACTAAGCAGTTTCTTGTCACTTATACTCAACATGTAAGAATTACAACACCTTAGAATCCCACATTATACTGAATCCATCTAGACTATATACATAGTGTTGAACATTGCTCCACCTTGCAGTGGCAGTTATCAATAGAAATGAGATAAGAAAGAGTACTCTCAATATTCTAAGCTATATTTTCTTCCACAAAATTCACTGCTGCAGAAGCTGCTACTATAAATCATTTAATAATTTAAAAACTTTATTCAGTGTTGAAGGCATACTATTGAGATGGTTCTTTTAAAATCTAATAGAAAGTCAACTATTCTTAAATGTTATAGAGTGATATCACTGTTCAATTATCTAGAGGAAATATTGAAAAAGATAATTGCAACTAGATTGTCTTTTTTATCTACTACTACTTGTAGCGTACGCTGCTACGTAGGGGTCAAATTATGAGTATAAACACATCTCATTCTCTAAAAGATGGGAGATGGGCGTACGCCCCTATATATATACAGTGATTATTTACAGAGATCAACTGTTATAGAAGGAGTGATTGCATACAAGGGAAAGGACAGAGGCTCTATAGAGAAGGTAGGAGTGGAAGCTCTCTGTAGGGAAGGTAGGAGCAGAAGCTCCGGGAAGCAGCAAGGGGTGGAGCGGAAGCCAAAGGTGGATAGGGGGCGTAAGTACGCCACACTACTGATTTGTTATATAATGATCAAATGAGAAGTAGAAAGTAAAACTCAGTTATTGATGCAGTTCTCTTTGTAATTTATGATGTTCAATTTGCAAAGAATGAAAAAATGATTTCAACTGCAATGTTCATTGATATAAAAGATGCATTTGATTGTGTTTCACTCTCTCAGATGATAGAAACTTTGATAGATTTGAGAATGTCAATGTCTTTTATAAAATGAGTTATTTATTTCATGTCGAAAAGAATTATTCAACTGCTTTTTGAAGGAATGAAACAAGATATAACTGATATTGAGATAGGAGTTTCTTAAGATTCTCCGGTTTCACTCATTTTATTTGCTATATTTGTCAAATTCTTGTTTGTCAACAGACAAATGGCAGTTATAGTAAGGACATCAAGCTATGTTGATGATTTAAATCTAGTTGTGAGCTCAGAATCAATCATCAATAATTATAATCTGATTCAACAAACTGCAACTGAAATGATTGAAAAAGTAAAATTAAAAAATATTGTTTTTGATATATGAATAAAACTGAGTTAATTCACTTTTATTCAAATTTCAGAGAAAAAGATATTGAAGTTAAGCTTTTAAATCATTTAATTAAATCTAAAGGTTCAGTTAAATGGTTTGATATTTGACTTGATTCTCAATTTAATTTTAAATCTCATATGCAAATAAAAACTGCAAGTGCTGAAAAAATTTTAAACAGTATATCAAGGCTTTCAAATATTGAAAAAGATCTGTCATTTCAAGCAATGAGACAATTATATATTGCTTGTGTGACCTCTGTTTCAGATTATGCAGTTCAAATGTGGTGGAGAGGTCAAAAACACTTGTAATGTGACGGCGCCGAGGCGGTTGCTACTCGGCAGCGGCACAGAGGAGGATGGTATATAATGGGAAGCCTTATGGGTGGGCTTGATTATCTCGCTTGAACCGCGAACTCGTAGAATACTATACAAATACTGAACTACCAGAGGTACTCGGCACACTATGAATATTGTATGAGGACAGTGGTAACTCTGGTATCTTATTGTCAAAAGATAAAAGACGAATCGCTGGCTCCTGGAATAGAGAGCCAGCATCTAGCTATTCTATATAGACAACGGGCAGCCATCCTCCCCTCACTCTATGAGCGAGGGTAGCCGAAGCAACTCCGCAGTGGCGCTGCATTGATCTGCCAGAAGGAATCCATTGACCCCGTATAGAAACAGGATTCTCATATCTCATCAATCGGATCCTCTTCTATTGCATCCGAATGATGTCATAGGGTGGTTGGAAACCGGTTCGGATACCTGCGTGACGTTATGGGATAGATGGGATTATCTGAGGGGAAGCGATGGGCCGTGTGGAGCCGCCACGGGGCCTTGGCACAACCAAGGGTGTGACATATACTCTCAGAATTATGAAGCTTTATTCACATCATTCAATTGGAAAAAGAGTTTCAAGTTCTTTTTCAAGTGAGTCAATTGAATTACAATTGAATTGAGAACTTTATCTTGATTGGAATGAAATTGATTTATCTGAAAATTTAAGCTTTTTATAAAGAAGAAGAATATCATCTCAGTTATTTAGAATTTATTCAATGATCAAAAACAATTTTTCTAGTTTAAATGTAAAGAGAGTAGTTTTTGAAAGTCTCTTTTCTTGAAAGAAAAGTCTTGATGATCTTGTTGATCTAAATGTTAATCAACTGTTAAAAGAAGATCAGGCTCAAGGACATTTAAAACTTTTGAAATTAATGATGTATGTATGTATGTATTGATTTAGCGTCCCAGAGAAGACACAGGCAATGCCTGCACTTCAAAAGCCTCCCGAAGGGCATGGGGACGTGCTACGCTGGAGAAATCTCTATATACACAGTAATCATAGACATAGGATCCAGATAGCAACTCTTGAGAAGACTCAGTTTATATAGACTGTACATCCACTTCTGGCCCGACGTATGGCCATTCATGGTAGAGATAATCAAGGCACACAAGTGCTACGGCAGGGCGATTGCTCGCAGGGAGCAGCGGCAGGGTGATTGCTCGCATGTATGTATGTATGTATAGGTTTAACGTCCCGGAGAAAACACGGGCAGCGCCCGTGTTTCAGAAGCCTCCCGAAGGGCATGGAGACGTGCTACGCTGGAGAGATTTCTATGTACACAGAGAGAGAAAACAGAATCCAGGTGGCAACTCTTGAGAAGACTCAGCTCATTGCAAAGGATTTTTCTGAGCTGCGCATCCACTTCTGGCCCGACGTATGGCCATTCATGGTGGGGCTATAGTGTGGTTCCCTGAGGGGACCGCCGCTGCCGTGCCTGGAAGGCTTTATAGTGAGCAGAGAGGGATACCTCTCTCAGTTGATCAGAAAGCTGTCTGTGCTTCTAACATCAGAAGAAAGACAGACAAGATAAATAATGAAGGAGAGAGCACTGAAGAAGGTTGTGACAGGAAAAGAGCAGAGAATGACAGAGAGAGCAAAGAAAAGAAGGAAGAAGAAGCATTTGAGCCGATAGAGACAAGGGCAAACGAGAGGAAAACAAAGCAGAGCACGCGTAGATACAATGCCGGCAGTCAAAACCATATCAGCTGAGTCAGACACGTAGACTGTACTGATTACACCACAGCTAATTGAGACAGATGAGCCTAGTTGTGCTATCTGTACTGTCTGCATAGACTGTGATGTCCCTGGCAGTTGCACTAGCTACCGTGGGTGTACTCAGCAGGCCGGCCTCGTGGAACTGCTGCGGGGGTTGTCAGATGGTTTGCAGCCAGCCGGCTGCGTTACCTTGTGCAGTACCGTGTGTAGAACTGCGTGCAGTCCAGCAGTTCTACAAAGTCTGTAGGGGTCAGAGACCCTAGATAGGCAACAGCTGTCGCCCGGTTGTGTGGCCGTGCTGCTGGCCTCTTGGGCCATTGAAGAAAGTGCCTCTGTGAGTGTCAACACAGCACCAAATGTTCTGGGCTCTTGTTGTGTCCACAGACACAGGTGAGCCTTGCATCTGCATGCTGGAAACGCCTGTGGTACCAGGAGAAGTCCCCATGAGAGGAGCGGAGTGCGAGCCAGCGGTGAAGGGCATGCCGTGGCATGGTGAGCTCCGGAGGGGCCTTCACTTGGTATTCCACAGTCGGCCTGCTGAAACTCCAGCCCCGGTACCAGTCAGAGAGCCTGCCACAGGCTCCACTCCACCACTTTCGCCTTGCCTCTTGGCTGAGCTGCTTGGCCACTGTGCGGACCCCACTGACTGTGGGTGTGGCCTCGAGACCATAGGCTGGGGCTGCAGTGGATGAGACTGCCCGCTTAGCCAAGCGGTCTGCTTCCTCATTGCCCTCTATCCCCATATGCCCAGGAGCCCATTTCAGGCCGAGATTGTGCTGTCTGAGGAGCTCATGGCAGCGGTTGTAGGCCCAGTTTGAGGAGGCTGCTGCACTGCCCCGTATGCCCCAGATGACTGAGGTGTTGTCGAGGCAGAGCCAGATCTGAGGGTTGCTGCTGTCCTCTGTGACACAAGGTAGGAGCTTCACGGCGCACTCTAGTGCCCGGCAGGCACCAACTGCCTCAGCGTCGAAGACATGTGACATAGGGCTCAGCGCAGCTGAGAAGCTGGCCAGCTGTTTATTTCCCTGATAGACTATGAAGCCATAGCCCACCTGCCTGCTGTTGTCAAGGCTCCGTTCTGATCCATCTGAGAAAACATATAGATCTGTTGAGGGTTGACTTCTCCACCATTTCTTGAATGCCTGAGCAGCACTCTTTTTGTCTACACCCTCTGTGGGGTCTGTCCCGCATCCCTCTGAGTAGTGTGGGATGGCAAGTGTGGGTCTATTGACTGCAGGTAGCAGCGCCCCCAACCGCTGGATCTTGGTCTTTGAGCGCTGCCGGGTTCCAGCCCCTCTTCCTCGTGTGATCATTGGAGGTGCTATCCGTGAAGCCAGTGGGTGCTTCTCATCCACCACCTGAAGCCTTGTCGCGAATCGCATTTTGGCCTCCTCCAGAGCTACCATTGCTGATGGGAGCCCAGCATCCCGGTATAGGGCAGCGATGGGCGTTGTACGGAAAACTGGGAGGACCCCTCTGGCTGCCATAGTAAGCACCTTCTCAACTGTCCCCACATGCCATCCCAGGCGGGAGCTAACCTCCCCACTCCTGCCCGTGTGCCTTGCTGGCTGCGTGCGGCCGCCGTACCAGGCCTCTGTGCCATAGAGCAGTGAGGGAACCACGCAGGTGGTGACCGCCTTCCGCAGAGCGTCTGCTGGGGGCCCGTCTCTGGTCTTTCCCAGACTCCGGATGTGCTGGGCCACGGCCCTTGCCTTCTTTGCCCGGGTGGAGACATGTGGTCTCCAGGTGAGCCTTCTGTCGAAGTGTACACCCAGCCAGCGAAGTGCTGGCTCCTGTCCAGCTGGGGCAGTAACAGGGTGAACAGTGAGGTCCTCAGACACAACTACTGCTGGTGCCTCATTGTGTCGCTTTCTTGTAAGATGGATCATCTCAAGTTTCTCTGGTGCGAAGGCCACCTTGTTTATCTCCCCCCACCTCAGAATACTCTGTATATCCTGTCTGAGAAGGGTGGCATTGTTGTCAAGTGAGTGGGTCGCCCGCCAGATGTTCAGATCATCCGCATAGCCAAAGCGCAACTCCGAGTTTTGCCACAGCAGCTCTGCCAGGTACAGAAGGAACAGTATTGGTGACAAAGGAGACCCCTGTGGCGTGCCACATTGCATCTGATGTGCTGCTGTGGTGGTCCCCTCCAGCCGGACCTGAGCTCTGCGTTCAGTGAGGAAACTGTCAATGAGCTGCAGCAGCTCGCGTGGCCACCCCTGCTGCGCCATCCGCTGAAGCAGCCGCCTGCGCAGCACAGCATCAAAGGCACCCTGCACATCCATTGTGACCATGGACACTTCTTTGTTTTGTGCGAAGGCTGCCTCCACCTCATGAGTGAAAGCAGCTACCAGGTCCATTGCAGATCGTCTGGGCAGCGCCCCCCCATGCTGTGGGCTGACTATGCCGTGAATGAGTGCCGTGTACGCCAGTCGCCTTGCAATGATGCGTTCCAGCCCTTTGGAGATTACTGAAAGCAGGGCAATGGGCCTCCAGGAGCGGACTGAGCTTCTATCTCTCTTACCCACCTTGGGTATCATTGCCACCTCTGCCAGTTTCCAGGCTCGTGGGAAGTGGCAGAGCCGGAGGCAGCAGTTGTATAGCTGCTGTATAAAGAGGGACACATGCTGCCAGCATGCTTTGAGCATCCGCACTGTGATTCCATCCGTGCCTGGGGAGGTGCTCTGTACCCCAATGGTGTTGCGCTCCATCTCCTCCATCTCAATCCGGGGGTTCCAGGGCAGGTTCCCCATGCCGCTCCAGTGCTCATCATCCAGTGGGTCATACTCCAGATCATCAGCTGAGTTGTATCGCTTCAGAATTGCTTGTTGAAGTGCCTCAGCTTTGGCGGCTGTCTCTTCTATGACCTGATCCCCAATCACCAGAGGGGGTGCTCTGAGGTTGGGTTCCAGCTTATGCCATGCCACCACCCGGTACAGGTCTCTACCATCTCTGGCGCCATTGATCACCTGCCTCCAGTATGCACGCTTGGTCTTGCGCACTGCATCCTTGAACTGGTGCTTCGCGGCCTCTGTCTGGTGAGTGGTGAGCTCTCGGTGCGCTCTTCGGCAGTCTGCTGTCCACCAGGGGGCTGTGGTCCGCCCTTGTTGAGCTGGCTTACTGACTGCCTGAGCTGCAGCCAGAAGACTCTGAGTGAAGTGCTGGGCCAGATCATCAAGCTGTGCCACATTTCCAACCCCCTCTGGGCAAGGCATGTCCACCATGAGACCTCTGACAAGATCTGCAAAGGGCTCCAGCTGAGAGTCTGTGATCTTGATCCGAGCATCACTCAGCTGTGTTTGAGGTGTTGTTGGCAGCATAGTGATCATAGACTGGTGATCTGAGCCGCAGTGTAGATCTTGACGCACTGTAGTGGAAGCAAAGGCCACATTGGAGAAGGTGAGATCAATCACATGACCTGCTGCATGAGTCGGAACCCCTATCTCTCCCACAAAGTCCATCCCATGTTCACTGGCCCATTGGACAAGCTCCCCGCCCCGGTGCAGATTCACTGCCCCTGGTTCAAAGGCATCATGCCGTACGTTGATATCCCCACCTATCAGACAGCGGGCTGGTGGGCTCAGATTGGTCAGATAGTCCATGACTGCGTCTGTCCCAGGCTGTCTGTACACATTGAGAATGTGGCAGCCATTTACACTGACCCATAGCAGATCCCTGCTTTGCACAGACCGGTGTTGCTGTGCCCTTGTCTTTGAGCCCTTGCGTACATATGTCATGACCCGGGGCCTCTCCTCCTCTCGCTGCTCCGGGTTAGTGTCATCCCAGCGGTCTATAGGCGCAAAGCACTCATACGCTGGGTGGTTAGAAGTCTTGGTGCCAGGGTGTGTGTATGGCTCCTGTATACAGACCACTTCACAGCCCTGCTCGAAAGCAAGCTGCAGAGCTGCTGTGTGACAGGGGGCTGCCCTGGCCGTATTTGCCCAGAAGACCTGCAGGGGGCGATTTTCCTGCTGGTTGTTCCTGCGGCGCCAGCCGCGTCGCTGGTGTTGGTGTCCTAGCATGAGGAGTCACTTGGTGAGCTGCTGCCGAAGTCCACCTGCGGGATGAGGTTGAAGGCCTCCAGACCTGCCATCTGCATGCTGGAGTCAGACTGTTCTTTAGCTGCTTGGCTGTGCTGCCGCACTGCTGTGCGAGCTGAGCGTCGCCTGGTGCGGGCCATCTGCCAGGTGGCACCCTCCTCACTGATGGAACTCTGAGTCGCCGCCCGCTTGCGGGGTGCTAGCCCAGCGGGCTGTGTTGACTGGGTTGACTGAGCGGTTGGTGTAGGCACCACCACTGCGACCATTGGTGCTGGCTGTGCTGGCGGCGGTTGCCGCTCCTGAGCATCCCTGTGGCACCTGTCGCCAAGGCGGCGAACAGCTGCTAGCTCTTTTTGAGTTAGGCGCCTGAGGGTGCCATTCACACGCCTGGGTGCGGCAGGGCAGTGCTGATGCCCAGCTGGGTAGGGTTGGCAGCAGTTGGCACATCTTGGCGCTCTCTTGCACTCCGCGCCTGTTGGCCCCTCATGCTGGCTTGTGGGCTCACTGCAGTTGGAGCATCTTGCCAGTCGCGCACACTTTGGTGGGTGGCAGAACCCCTGGCATCCTGGGTTATGTCTCACTGTCAAAGGCCGTTTCTCAATCAGCCTGGCCCTCTCACTGGCATTGAAGAGTGAGAAGCCTTTTACCGGGGCAAGGAAGGAGACAATCCATGTAATCTTCCCTGTCTTGGGGTTCACCCCATGACGCGAGGGTCGACAGCTCACTGGCTTTACCTTTGCCTGAGCCAGAACCTCATCTTGTCTGTGGGGATTCTTGCCCCTTCCCAGTCCTGGACAAATTCTGGGACCCCTGGGACAGCATAATTGTACCACCGCTCTGGTAGCCGGATCTCCGTGGCGCCAAGGACTTCACAGAG